TCAAAGCAGTTTGGATTGAAAAACAAACAATAAAAGAAAACAATTGATTATTAAATTAGTCATCGATTATTTTGATAATCGATTAGTTGTCGATTAATCGTAGCAGCCCTACTTACAGCTCCCTGCCAACGTGAAAAAAAAGTCTAACATTGATTCAACGTGTTGGAAAAATATGCGTGGTTCAAAATGGTATGTCCCAATAAACAGGAATCAGCAGGATTTCTTCTTTAAAACTTTATTTTCAGTCCTCTGACTCCAATCAGCTTCATTCAGCGCTCAGCAGCACAGGCCTCAGCGTACAACCTTGGGCTGAGTCAAAACAAACACGGGAGCTCTGCTCTGAGCAGACACTGACAACTTCTACTCTCTATAATAATGAATTGAGCTTATAATGTATCTTCCTTCCTGGTTACACCCTTGGAGGTGCTACCTTTTACGTCAAGACTTCAGAATGTCACTCATTTTGTTTAGGCTAAAAGAAAGAACACATGATAACACACACCAACTCTTAATCTGTTATAACCTTACAGACTGAAATGATCAGAAAGTATAAAATACAAAACTGAATCTAATATTCAATTAATCAGTTACTAAATTCCTTCAGTTGAGTGAAAACTATGGTTCCAGCTATCATTGTTGTTTATAATATGCTTCATTATGACAGAGTGCTGCGGGTGGACAGAGCGAGAAATTAAAATACTTTTAGCACCAGCAGCATCTTCAGCCTGTTCACACTTGGTCGGAAACAGGAGAGACTAATCGGTAAACTCTCTCCACATCTTTTCACCCTAAATAAAATGTTTTATGCCAGTTCCATACGTGGTTCTGATTCTGACACGTCTGATGTTTTTCAAAGCGACCTGAGTCTGACGCTCGTGTTACATTAAGCGTCCGCTTCCTGAGGTGGAGCTGAGCAGATGATCCATGAAATCATCATAATCACACCAACCTTGTGCGGTTTAAACCTTGAAACTCCATGTTGTCAGCTACAGAACAGAAGTCCAGTTGTTTTGTTTTTGTTCTTTTATATATTCCCATCTTTCTGAACTGTAATTTCCCATTGGGATTGATCATTCATGTGATGACAGAAAATCCACAGCAACAGATACACTGTCAGCGTCAGACCTTATCAATTTCAGTCTGAGAGACTTTCCTCGTATTCTTCTTCAGATGTTTCTGTCTGAGCAGTGCTTTCTCCACTCTCTGTGACTGGTTCATATCTGTACAGCTGGATGGTTTTTATCTTTAGTTTCATAGTGAACTCTGATTAATTATCATAGACGGACATGTCAGATTGTTTGACATCTGTGATGACACATAGCAACAACTGTTTACCTTAGAAACTAAAATTGTGATTTTGGGCTCTGCTCCGTAGCCACATTTAGCAGGTGGAAAATCATATATTTTTTGTATTTTACATTACAGTTGTGAATAATTTAAACCACAATTTAAAATAAAACATTGTATGACTGCAAAATACATTATTCCCCTTCATTTGGCCTTAAAGCTCGTGTCACAGAAACATACCTCAATCTTCTCTTCTATGAGCTGCTTTGCATGATCAATTTGCTGTGGGGACCCCCTGATGATGAACAGCTTGAAGTTTGGGTCACCGTTGGGCGGCGGCTGACGAGATATCTCAACAAACGCCCCGGTTTGTTGGTTGATAGCCTTGACGTTCTCTCCCCCTCTGCCGATGACCAGCCCACATTTGTGGGCAGGAATGGTGAAGGACATCTCTCCTCCTGGAGGGCCCCAGCTGCCCTGGCCTCCACCCCGACCTCGACCTCCAGGCGGCATCCCTGCACCCGGGGGTCCCTGTGAAAGAAAACGCCACGTTCCAGAAGTAAAGTTGTTTCACCTTCAACGAGATCAAATTGTTAAAGTTAAATTTAGTGGTTGAGTGTCTCTTACTCCTTGTCCACCTTCCTCTCGGGCACGAATGCTCTGCAGCAGGTCAGTGATAATTGAAGCAGCATGCTGACACTGGTCTGGGGGTCCCATAATATGGGCAATCTTTTCAGGAGTTGTGCCATCATCTATGATGCATTACAAACAAAAAATAAAATGAAATTATTGATGAACTACAAAATGTTTAAGCTCCAAGGGGTTTACTTGATGTTTTTGCTCAAAATACCATGCTGAAATGTAACTGAGTGTATCTCAGCATTTACAAACTCTACTTAAATAATCTTGGTATCAAAATAAAGCTAACACTTGGGAGATTTCATCAGAAGTGTAAATATTAAAACAGGTGCTGTGCTTTTAGAGATACTGAGGATGGAACATAAGTTTTTAATTATTTTTACTCTCACCTGAATATATATTTTTTTCATTAGACAGTAAATAACCTGTTTAAAACCATGAAGAAGCTAAAAACTCTTGGAAACCATAAATCCACGTGTGAACATCACCTGTGCAAAGATTCATGCTGCTACAATGAACTAAAGCGAAGTTACAGAGGTTTTGGTAAAGAAATAATTTCTCATTTTGTCATTCTGCACAGGACAGACCATGTTGGTATCGTTAATAAATGTTAATAAATCTGAAGTTTTTACATCCAAAAGTTAGTTTTTTCTTACCTGCCTTAAAAGACTTGTTTTTGACTGTTTGTTCTTTTGAAAAATTATCCAAAATTTATTTGTCACCATTTATATGATATAAAAATAATGATAAATTATATTTGACTTCAGTTGGACCATATTCACTCAAAATCAAGTGAAAAAAAAAACTTAACACACTTTACAAAATATTTAGCTATCTGCTTAGACTTGCTTTAAAAAAATAATGTCAAAAATCTTTCCTTTACAGATTTACTTGAATGTATTTACAGATTTGCAATGACGCTAGGGCTGCAACTAACGATTATTTTAAAAATCGATTAATCTGTTGATTATTTTTTCGATTAATCGGCCAAATCATTAAAACGCTTAATCTTCACTTTCAACTTCACCCATGTAGGGTTTTTTTGGGGCACAGTTGTGTTATAAGAGCAACAATATTACATTTCTATTTGCCATAACCACCTGGGCCCCAAATTTTATTGTACATCTTAGACATTCACTCGTAACATTTTCATGAAATTCACATATAGGAACTTAAGGTGGGCACTCATGGCTATAGGTGGCCGGATGGCACCACTCTRGCCTCCTGTGCCTGTGCACACCCCTCAAGGTTTGCATATAGACACTTAGGGTTTTGGGTTAGAGTAGTGGTGGAGGGGAAACTGGCACCACACCGACCACTGCCTCTTCTTTCCCTTTTTAATTACTCTATAGAACACGCACCAACAGTACATCTGGGGGTGGGGATGTGGGTGTCAGGGTCTTTATTCCCATCCCGTTCCCTGACTGCCATTTGGGGAGGGGGTCCTGAAAAAGGCCCCTCCCTCTGCGACGGGGGGCTGGCCGGGCGTCCTGGTGCAGCCCGGGCCGGGCCTTGGCTATCTGCTCCTCTCCACCTCAGAATGATTGGGTCTACCTCCTGGGTTCGGGTGTGTGCTGCCTCCAATAGGGGGTCGGTGCATGTCCTGGACCTGGGGGGTATAGAGTGTGTATCGGGGGTATGAGTGGAATGTGGCGTCCCTGTATGTCTTTGATTGAGTGGGGGTGAGGATGAGGGTGGGATGGTGCGATTGTGTATGGGTATTTGTCAGGCTGTGGTCTGGGCTGCCCCTCCTGCTGGTTTATCTGGGGGCCTGCTGCTACTCGGCCCCCCGGTGAGGTGTGCGGCTGGCCGCCGGCGTGCTGGGGGTTCCCGGGGTCTGGGGCTGGGCGCTGGGGTGCCTGGCCTGGTGACTGCCTGCTGGGGCTTGGGGCCTCTGGACCTGTCGGGCTTTGGCCTGGAGGGGGTGCGCCCTGGGGGCCCGGACCTCTGTGCCCTTTCCTGGATCTGCTCTGGTATGGCGGGTGCAAGTGGGGCCCATGAGTTTGTCGCTGCTGGCCCCGGGGGCTGTGCGTGTGGTCGCTGGGGGGACTCACCCAGTTCTCCCCTACGGTCTGATCTGGGGGGTGGTTGGGCGGATATTCCCATGTGGGTGCCCCTTGGGGCTCTGCGCTCGCAATCCCTCTTGGGCCCTTGGGCTCTGGTCTTCCCTATGTCTGCCTCGTGTCTTGGGGGTTGGGTCTCGGTCCTCCACAGTCACTATTAAATATTCCATTGGAGAAATCTTGTATATACACGCATGTTCATAACTGCTCACAGACAGGTGTTCTGATCTGGGGGGTTCTGACTGGTCACTGAGTGTGTATATATGTCTGTGTGTATATACGGACAATATTTATGAATGTAGGCATGTATGTATGTATATCTTTATATATGTATGGGTATGTGTATATTTTATATGCCCTCCATTTATTTATCCATTTATTTTTCAGGTGAGCAGACAGATGTTGGGTGTGTGGTCCTGTGTTTTGTTGGTGTATATTTAATATACTTCTAATCGCTATTTCAATCTTTCTAATTACTTCTCTCTGTCTCTATTTTCTCTTAACTTATAAAAAAAAAGTCACTGATGATGAAGAAATAAATAAACTAATATTTGGTTTCGTTTTCTACTGAAGTGACAAAAAAACCGCTTAATTACATGAATATGAGTAGATATAAATTAAGTTAACTCCTGCAAGTTATTGATAATGAAATAATCTGAAGTTGATTTATCTTATAGATTGATTAACAATTAATAAGCAGCCATTTTTTAAAAAATCTTGAGTTTTCTCTTGAATCAAGAGGATCTTCCCATAAAATGAAGGATTTTTTTATAATCTCCTGAATTAAAAAACAGAAGCACATAATTCATATTTTAACAATTTATTTTGCCAGCTGTATTAAATACTGACTGAAAAAAAAGTGTATTTCTCCTACATGAAACATAACAGAAATTTAATAGGTTGCTGAATGAGGAAAATAGATTAAAATAATAAAATATGATTTTTAGATGTAAAACTATTATTACTTTATTCTAATTAGAATTTATTTACATTTAACATTTTTTTTCTCTAATTCTTTACTTTTTGTTTCATTTCTTGTTGGTTCTGTTTGACTAAAACATTGTTTGACCCTAGGGCTGCCACAAACGATTATTTTTATAATTGATTAATCACTGATTATTTTTTTCGATTAGTCGACTAATCAGATCATACGTTAATTGAATATAAAACATACAGCTTCTCGTGCCAGAATGCAGCTGCTATTATATAACCATCGTTAGATTTTAGCTATATGCTAACTAAAAATAATTGCTGTGGAAGTTAAGTTCTGCTCTGCAGATATTGCACAGGTTTCTCTTTCATTTTCTTAAAATGATCCCACACTTTGAGCTCTGTTGTCAGGTAGCCATGATACCAGAGCCTGTCTGTATAATGTCTTGTGAAGTCCACGGCCTACCCCAGTTACCACTACTGTGCATGTGTGTCAAGGACAGAAAGGCAGATGTGGCAGTGGAAGGTGTCAAAGCAGTTTGGAAAGAAAAACAAAGTAAAGAACAAAAAAAAAAAAAGAAGAAAACGATTAATCGATTATTAAATTAGTCATCGATTATTTTAATAATCGATTAGTCATCGATTAATCGTTGCAGCCCTAAATGATGCCATTTTGTACAGTTTGTTTACTTTCTGATTCAATTGCTTGTCGTTTAAACTTTGTTTGGTGAATGTAAAAATAGTTTCCATGAGTTTTTAGCCAAGATTCTTAGCTTTCTATTGACACCAAACATGTCCAGGTTCAACTGACAGATCTGAAGTTAAAAGAAATAAAAAACAGAAAAAAAAGCTTGCCCCCAGTACCGGGGGCATGGGGCTCAAGAGGTTAAAATAAACATTCAATGCCTTCATCGACCATTAACACCAAGATGATGCATCTCCAGTTTGTAAGCAGGTTACCTGGTTTAAACTGGATCTTCACTCCAGCATCACTCTGGATCTTCTTTATCATCTCCCCACTGCGACCAATCACAACCCCCACAGACTGCCGGGGCACAGCTATCTGTAAAATTATAGACAAGTGGATGATTCTCAACCTTTGTCAAGTTCACTAACCAGCTGTAACTGTGCTGCTCACACTGAGGGAAAACAAAACAAAAAACAACTTTACTAACCTCAATGCCACCACCGCCTCCTCCTCCTCCTCCTCCCATCCTCGAGCCGTACTCGTTCCTGTCTCCAAAGCCGGCGTGATCCCTTTCTCGAAGGATCTCATTAACCATGTCCTTTGCTTGCTACAAAAATAACACAACAGAAAATTACACAGGATATTACACAGGATAATAATAATACAGGATATTTCACACTTCACTGACACTAAGCAATTCAACGGTACCTGCACTTTGTAGGGGTCCCCGATGATGCGTAAGGGTTTGTCTATGTTGGACGGCTGTGACGGGTCTTGAATAAGAATCATTTTAACCCCAGCCCGCTCCTAGGAATTTCAGAAAGAGAGATGTTAAAACACAGCAGGCTAACCTCTGCATGTTACACGGATCATCGTCTTCCCTACAGGAGAGCTGAACAGGCAGGTAGTCTCGTAATTCTCTTTCTAATCCTTGAACAGCACGAAACAAACAAGTCTCACCTGCAGCTGTTTGATTGTTTCTCCTCCCTTGCCAATAATAAGACCAGCCTTTCCAGCAGGGATGATAATTTCTTGCATAGAACCCGACTGCCCGTTGCTTGGCCCCTCATGACCCCTGGACACGATGTCATCGATGAGGGCTTTGGCTCGCCTGGAAGCAAATTCAAATGACAAAAAAGTGATACAGTTGAGGAGAACACAGAAAACTTTAATTAATTTAAAAACTGTACTTTTGAGTTTAAACAAAAGTTCATAATTTAATTGACCATCGATAATCTGAACTTTGGCTGCGCTGGCCTTGGGGACTGGATTCTTCGGACCCCCTTAAAACTCACTCACTCCTCTGGCTTAAACTTGCTCTATGCAGAGGTTTTTTCGTAAACACCATAGTGTGTCACAGTGTTGATATAATAGGATGTTTTTGCTTTTTTCCTCATTTTCCCTTGTGTGTTTTTTTTGTCTAAAGGTAGCGCAACTATGTTTGCTGCATGACCCGTCTTAACTGCCCCCCACCTTCCCTGAATGTACAGCACCTTGTGAATTTATTTCTGTGAAAAGCGCTATATAAATAAAACTTTAATTACTTACTTATTTAAATAAATTACAAGTTAAAAAGGGCATGGACATTTCTCTTTTTTGTATTGAAAAAATATCGAACCGTGAGACTAAAGTATTGAGTGGAACTGTATTGTGAATTTTCTGTATTGTTGGACCTCTAATATATATGCACACACACACATATAAATACATACAAAAAAACTGAAAAACTAAACCAAACAGAATCAAAAACTGTAATCCAACCCAGCTAACACTTGTCACCTGGGAGGTATTGGCAGCCTAGTTTCTGTATTTAGTCTTCAGTGCACTCATTTAAATTCAAATCCCCTTGATAAAAACAAACAATTTATTCAGACATGTTGTGTTTTAGGGTGTATTCAGACCAGGAAAGTCCTTTGGTCCAATTGTTTGGTCCGGACTAAAAATGGACTTTTTTTTTCGTTTGGTGCGGTTTGCATCACTTTGTGCTTTTTTGCAAACGAACTATAACTTGTAAACAAAGCCACGAGTGTGACGATCATTGCTCCCATTGGACAAAAAAAGGACGGGGGCGGGACTGAGCCACAGACCCAGAAGAAAACAAGGAAGTCCTGCATGCTGCGGTTCTGATGCGCACATTTATGCTGTTAGTTCAACTGTAATAGCATTTAAAATGTCAGAAGCGGCTAATTTAACGGTCTATGATGATATTCTGATTTTGGAGCGGCATCAGTAAATG